AATAAATAAATAAATAAATAAATAAAGTCCAATTCAGAATATCCTATCATCCTTGGGCTGCCACCCAGGGCTTAGAGAGTGGGATATTCCCCAGAGGTGATCAAGGCCCTTCTGCATTCTCTGACAGCCCAGGCCCAGTAGTCCTGAGCTGCAGCTTCACTATTATGGGAACACACAGCTGGCACTTTTCTCTTTTGGTGAGATGACTCTCTTACCCAAACCAATCCTGCTACTAACAGCCTTAAGATGAAGATACTACCTCTATTCCTACCCTCTTCCTCTCATTCAGAACATAGCTCATATTAAGGCCAGGTGCAGTGGCTCACACCTGTAATCCTAGCTCTCTAGGAGGCTGAGGCCGGAGGATCGCTTGAGGTCAGGAGTTTGAAACCAGCCTGAGCAAGAGCGAGACTCCGTCTCTACTAAAAATAGAAAGAAATTAATTGGCCAACTAAAAATATGTAGAAAAAAATCAGCCAGGCATGGTGGCACATGCCTGTAGTCCCAGCTACTCAGGAGGCTGAGGCAGAAGGATCGCTTGAGCCCAGGAGTTTGAGGTTGCCATGAACTAGATTGACACCACAGCACTCTATCCAGGGCAACAAAGTGAGATTCTGTCTCAAAAAAACCAAAACAAATAAACAAACAACAACAAAAAAAAACAGAACATAGCTCACCGTATGTTTCTCCTCATGTGGGAGGGCTTCTGAGCTCTCTTCTTTTTGGGGTCTTCAGAGGCTAGGCTCTTGCCTTGGTGGCGCCTAAGCTGTTCTGATGGCTCAGACTGAGATGAGGTAGTTGAAGTGCACCGTGGTGGCCGCTGCCCATCTTCCCCCAGCTGGCCATGCTCTGTGCCACACATGCTTTCCAGGGATGGGTCTGAAAAAACAAGGGGAAAGAGGATAATTTCAGGGGTGGAGGCAAGGGATGTGGGATGGGTTTTGGTACCAGGCATACCTGTGTTCAAATCTCAACTCAGGAACTTATTAGTTGATAGATAACCTAAAGCAAATTACTTATAACTCTCTGAACTTCAGTGGATGTATCTATATAACGAGGGTGGTAATGCCCACATTTCAGAGCTCTTTGAGGACTAAATAGTGTGCATGCCTAGAACTAAGCCTGGCCCAGAATAGGCCCAGTACCAATGACAGGCATCACTCTTACTATAGGTTAGCAGTATAATCAGAGTGAGGAAGCTTCATAGTCTTAGAATGCTCAGAAAGGGACACAGTCTGAACAGCTAGGTTCCAAATACAGATCACACTCAGCTGTGTGACTCTAAGCAAGTCCCTTCACCTCTTGTTTGCCAACAGGGAGACTACTTCTCTTTTCAATGTCTTAAAGCACTCACATGGCTGTCTAAAGGTATCCCTAGCTATCTCAATTGATTGTTCACAGTCAGTTACAGACCAAACTCCTTGTTCTATTCTTTCACCCTTCTCACTATGACACTTGACTAGTCTTTAAAAAAGAAGAAGAAAAAAGCATCCACATTCAACTTGCAAACCATTTAATCTAGATGCTTCAAGAGATATTTGTAAGACTTCTTCCCTTCAAGGAGTTTGTGTTCTATTTAGGGACACGTATAGAGCATGTACAAACATAGACAAAACATCGCAAGGTGTGCTAAATATCACAGAAGGGGCAGGTCAACAGACCTAAAGAACTTAAAGGTTTAAGACATTATTTTTTCAGCCAGAAGTAATTAACTAAACCAAGAATAACTGTGGTAAGGTCACAGGAATACAAAAGACACTACCATGTGTGATGACCACACAGCAATTACATAGGAGGTTAAATGCAAGTCAAGCCTTCAAAGATAAGTAGAATGTCTAAAGGTAAAACTTTAGAGACAAGGGAGACAAGAGAAGAGATTCCTGGCAGAGGGAATATCATTTGTGGCATCAAACAGCAGTAAGGACTGGGGTTTGAGTGGGAGAGTCCATATGCATATCCCTCTCCTGAGTAGCATTCTGTTCACTGGGTGGGCAGGCCTTGAGAGCCATACAGCCTGCAAGCTTGTCCCCAGATCGGTCAGATCTCCCAGATACAGACACTACACAACAAAAAGGTCTTTGCCAAAGGTAAGAAGAATTCAAAACTAGAAAATAAATGTTGGAACTGAGGTGCTCTAGACAGTGCCATTTGGCTCTCAGGCAGGAAGGACTCATTTTATTGGGTTCTTTGGTGGCTTTTTGTTTGTTTGCTTTTTTTTTTTTTGAGACAGGGTCTCACTTTGTTGCCCAGGCTAGAGTGAGTGCCATGGCGTCAGCCTAGATCACAGCAACCTCAAACTCCTGGGCTCAAGCGATCCTTCCTGCCTCAGCCTTCAGTAGCTGGGACTACAGGCATGCCACCACCATGCCCGGCTAATTTTTTGTATATATATTTTTAGTTGGGTCATATTTCTTTCTATTTTTTTTAGTAGAGACGGGTCTCGCTCAGCTGATTCGAACTCCCAGCTCGAGCATCCACCACTCGCTCAGAAGTGCTAGATCACAGCGTGAGCACGCGCCCGGCTGTTTGCTTTTAAACTATAGACTTGATCTGGATTTCATCGGTGTTCCACTAATATTCTTTTTCTATTATAGGATCCCATCCAGGATACCATGTTGCATTTAACTGTTATGTCTCCTTAGTGTCCCCTAAACTATGGCAGTTTTTCAGTTGATTCTTGTCTCTCAAGACTTTGACACTTTTTTCAAAAAACACCCAACCCAGGTCAAGCGTGTTATAAACTGTCTCCCATTTGGGTTTGTGTGATGTTTTCTCATGATCCGATTGAGATTACGGTTTTGGGAGAAGAATATCATAGAGGTGAAGTGTCCTTTCACATCACATTTTAACAGGAGTACATGATATCAATATGACTTACACACCCTGATCACTTGATGGGTTTTGGTACCAGGCATACCTGTGTTCAA